GTGGCCTGTGCCTCCGAAGATTGGGATGGCGTTGGCGAGAGCCTTCGCTGGGGTAGAGGGGAAGGAATGTGCTCTGTAATTAGGCTACCTATTATTATTATCTCATTATATAGCGCCATCAGATTCCGTAGCATTATACAAAGGGTGGACTAACAGACACGTAATTGTAACCAGACAAATGGACGCACAGGAACAGAGGGCCCTGCTCAATGAGTTTACATGCTAGAAGGAGTGGGGTATAGTGACACAAATGGTATAAGTAGGGGTAATGAAATGGGTTGCTAGAAAAGTATTCACTGGGAACTTAGGTTATTTTTAAATAAGACAGTTGCAGGAGAGGAGTCATGGGGAGGGGAATGAAAATCTGCTAACAGTTTAAATTATATGGCTTCCTGAAGAAGTGCGTGTTCAAAGATTTTTTGAAGGAGTGGAGACTAAGTGAAAGTCTTATGGAGAAGGGAAGTGACTTCCACAGAAAAGGTGCAGCCCTATATTTTTACTAATCCTATGAGGTTAGTTAGACTCTGAATCTTTGCCAATACGTGCGTTATGGCACCTCTTTTTATTTGTTTAGATCTAAAAGTTGAAAATGGATGCATTAAATAAATATTTATATACTATATTGGCATTGCTCATTCTGCTATACGGTATAATCCTATACCTTAATAAGCCTAATTTACTGAACTTTTTTTTTATTTTTACGTCCGTCATTTTGTATTTACATCCACCCATGGATCTGATCATGATAAGCCTGGTTGGTTTAATGAACATAAGACCTCACTAGCAGACCTTGCTATGGTATTCTAGGAATGTATGAGCACGGGTGAAAAAACATTCTTCATTTTGTTTCAATTCGTTTATTTTTCTAAATTTTGGTTTGTCCATTTCGTATGAAAATGTGAATTTTTCTAAATTCGGAATTGGGAATGAATGAAGGTATTGGTCACAAAGTACCAATTTTGAAAGTTATCTTAATTTTGACCTTTCAGCAGTTTAGCAAAGCCCCTTTCTCTGTTTTATTTCAGCTGTTTAGTAGATAACTCCCAAACAATTTTTTTTTTTTTTTAAAGATTTGTTTTACATTTGTTCCGAATTAACATATTTGAATGATACTCATTTGGGAACAAAACTAATTGGACATATTTATAAAATATTTGGGTGTTCTCAGCAAGTTTAAACTTTTGCCAGTTAAAATTGCAACATATCTTGAGTTTCACAAGGCATCAAAATTTTATAAGTATTTGCTGTAATGGGAGTACAGTAATATGCTTGGATGAATAATGTGTTTTGCTCCGTGAAGTCTGTTTCCACTCTTTTTTTTTTCTTAAATGATATAGAGCCTGACCAGAGAACGCCAAGAGTGTTTCCTTCTGTTGGGAGACCGGTTGTGGCTTTTCAGAATGATCTTTTATATCAGGTTGTGATATAGGTGGATAGATTAAGTGCACCATGAGGTAGTATTTTTTTGATTTTGTATTTATAGCTTGCATTATTGGGAGTAGAGATACATATACATGAATGTGTAGAACGGTATAGATATGAATATTGATAAATGTCTCTTCTTTGCCTAGTCAATACATAGTTGGTTAGGAGGATGAAAATTGAAAATAGGAGTGAACAAATGAATTTAGTTGTGGTCGTATGTAATGATTCCAAGCAAGTGCTGTTTTTTCCTGTGAGCATAATGTCAGCAATAATTTCATGTATGTCCTGAAAAGAGAAATAGAAGTGATGCAACTAAAAATTCTAATAAACATACTTTGCTATCAACGTGTAAAATAAAGGCCTGATGTATGAATTTTTTAACATATAAATTGTTTTGTTTATAAGCTTGCTTAAATATGTTTAGTATATATTTATAGTTTAAATTATTTATGTGCACCAAACTTTAATTACTGCTGAAATAACCTAAATCATTTTTCTTATCCATTACGCATTGCATAGTTTTGTTCACATGGACAAATGTGAGATGTCACTGCTTTTTCTAGAATACATATTCCTTTACAGCAAACTAAAAAAATAAATAAAGCATGATCTGTAATTGTCAGGTTTGATTTGTTTAACCCCTTAAGGACCAAACTTCTGGAATAAAAGGGGATCATGACATGTCACACATGTCATGTGTCCTTAAGGGGTTAAACAGAGGGCTGACTTTGTGACAGGGTAGCCTGTTGCTTCCAACAGCTTCATTCCTATTTTCATTGTGTCTGACTGAACATGCTTCTATTCAGTGAGCGGTTTCTCACATTGGTTACCAATGGGAAAAATCTTCTCTGAATAGAATTGTGGACAGATGCATTCTCTTTCCTCCACTCTGACTTATTACTTTCCCACCATCGATTGCTGAACATTCCCGTTCTTTATTGCCCTTCTAGAACATAGAAAACGAAAAATATTACTTTCAACTATGTAATTTGTATTCTATAGCAAAATGTCAGTATCATTCAAACAGGGAGATAATTTAATCAGGTTACAAAGGACTGAGCAAACAATCTGTGCTCTAACACACCCAGCAAAAGTAAATAGACAGTCTGCAATCCAGTCATAACAAGATACGCAATAATCAGACTCAAAGGGCCTCCCTATAGAAGCAAACTAAGTAAGGAAACATAACCAGATGGCTGCAGGTGAGGCTGGCATTAGTGACACACAGGTTGTGCTCCCCCCCCCCCCTTACCATACAGATTTCTAAATCCTAATCTGTAATGCTCTCAGATGGTATGAGAAATTTTTCAAAAGGAGATTCTAAAGGAGAAACCACTCAACATACAAATGAAGGTGTAATAAAGAAATAATAAAATGTGATAAAATGCACATTGCGCATGTGCAATGCGACATTACACAATTTTTAGGGACAGGACACTGGCTAGATCAATGCACAACAAAGACAAAGCTTGTAAATATGAGAAAAACAAACATTTACCTGTTTTTTTCTGCTTGCAGAATGAGACAGCTGTCTCATTCAAAGGCAAATCTTTTGAATGATTCAGTTGTCTTAAAGTCATGCATGTCCCTTTAAAGGGACACTTTGATCTTATTGAATTGGTTATAGTGTGACACACGTAGCATGTGTTGTCCTTTGGTGTTTACATTTTAGTTTAATACAGCTTTGGCATTATTACAATATCCACCACAGTGGACATCCCTTCCCCAGTGCATACCCCCACAGCTGAACACTTAAATAATACATCCCCTACAGTGGCACCCCTCCCATTAAATCCCCAAAGATTCCTCACCTGGTATGTACCCCTTATAGCAACATTCATCCACCAGTACATCCCTCATACAGAGTACAATACCACAACCACATCCCTACTGCAATATAACCCCCCCTATCCAGAAGGTACACTCCTCCCTACATGGGCATTCCTCTCACAGTGACATATATACCTATCCCCACATTGTACATACACCATTGGTACCATCTGCCATCTCCTACTTCAGGGGTTCCCAACCCAGTCCTCAAGTACCGCCTCCCAGTGCGGGATTTAGGGATTGCCCTATTGTGCGTACCGCCTCCCAGTGCGGGATTACCCTATTGTGCGTACCGCCTCCCATGTGCGTACCGCCTCCCAGTGCGGGATTTAGGGATTACCCTATTGTGCGTACCGCCTCCCAGTGCGGGATTTGGGGATTACCCTATTGTGCGTACCGCCTCCCAGTGCGGGATTTAGGGATTGCCCTATTGTGCGTACCGCCTCCCAGTGCGGGATTTGGGGATTACCCTATTGTGCGTACCGCCTCCCAGTGCGGGATTTAGGGATTACCCTATTGTGCGTACCGCCTCCCAGTGCGGGATTTGGGGATTGCCCTATTGTGCGTACTGCCTCCCAGTGCGGGATTTAGGGATTACCCTATTGTGCGTACCGCCTCCCAGTGCGGGATTTAGGGATTACCCTATTGTGCGTACCGCCTCCCAGTGCGGGATTTGGGGATTACCCTATTGTGCGTACCGCCTCCCAGTGCGGGATTTAGGGATTACCCTATTGTGCGTACCGCCTCCCAGTGCGGGATTTGGGGATTACCCTATTGTGCGTACCGCCTCCCAGTGCGGGATTTGGGGATTACCCTATTGTGCGTACCGCCTCCCAGTGCGGGATTTAGGGATTGCCCTATTGTGCGTACCGCCTCCCAGTGCGGGATTTGGGGATTACCCTATTGTGCGTACCGCCTCCCAGTGCGGGATTTAGGGATTGCCCTATTGTGCGTACCGCCTCCCAGTGCGGGATTTGGGGATTACCCTATTGTGCGTACCGCCTCCCAGTGCGGGATTTAGGGATTACCCTATTGTGCGTACCGCCTCCCAGTGCGGGATTTAGGGATTACCCTATTGTGCATACCGCCTCCGAGTGCGGGATTTAGGGATTGCCCTATTGTGCGTACCGCCTCCCAGTGCGGGATTTGGGGATTACCCTATTGTGCGTACCGCCTCAGAGTGCGGGATTTAGGGATTGCCCTATTGTGCGTACCGCCTCCCAGTGCGGGATTTGGGGATTACCCTATTGTGCGTACCGCCTCAGAGTGCGGGATTTAGGGATTGCCCTATTGTGCGTACCGCCTCCCAGTGCGGGATTTGGGGATTGCCCTATTGTGCGTACCGCCTCAGAGTGCGGGATTTAGGGATTGCCCTATTGTGTGTCTAAAGTGCTCTTTTTTTTTTTTTTTTCAATCCCCCCCAAAACACCTTAGACATAATTGAGTAGTCCTTAGATCCTGGACTGTTAGTGGGTAATTGAGGACTGTCCCCCCCCCCCCATATGTCTATAATTCCAGCACACTCTGCCCCGCGCGCTCTCTCTGCAGCTGCTTCCATTCATACACACCCGGACTCGGGGAGAATACATAAAACCCCGCCCCTTCAGACACAGCCCGTGCGCGTGCAGTCTGCCACGCCCCCACCACGAGGCAATAACGCCGCCTCTCCGCCGCTGTCCGCCAATAGCGTCACGGATTGTCATTGTTTCGTTGCGCTGCTCAGCGGCCCGCCCTCTGTCTGGACACGCCCACTCCGGCTGAGTAACTGTAGTCCGCACTCCGGAGCCAGGCTGCAGTGAGCGAGCTCCGTGTTAGCGCTCTCCATCCCCGGCCCCCGATACTGACCCACTCCGTGCATGGTGACCGATCTCCTCTTACCCACACACTGACCATGGAGGGAGCCCGAGCCGGCGGCGAGGCGGGGGATAGCCCGGTGAGTGCTGCCTATTGTTATAATCATTGTCTGTGGGGCGCCAGCAGGATCCGCAGCGCAGTACAAAGGGATCGCCTCGCACACTGCGGGGATTAATGAAGGCTGGCCTCTGTGGGGCTCTTACCTCCAGTCTGACACACTGCCAGGGCCGGCTGTGCACCATGGGAGTCTTAGTCCATGATGGCTGTGCACCATGGGAGTCTTAGTCCATGATGGCTGTGCACCATGGGAGTCTTAGTCCATGATGGCTGTGCACCATGGGAGTCTTAGTCCATGATGGCTGTGCACCATGGGAGTCTTAGTCCATGATGGCTGTGCACCATGGGAGTCTTAGTCCATGATGGCTGTGCACCATGGGAGTCTTAGTCCATGATGGCTGTCCATGATGGCTGTGCACCATGTCTTAGTCCATGAGTGGGAGTCTTAGTCCATGATGGCTGTGCACCATGGGAGTCTTAGTCCATGATGGCTGTGCACCATGGGAGTCTTAGTCCATGATGGCTGTGCACCATGGGAGTCTTAGTCCATGATGGCTGTGCACCATGGGAGTCTTAGTCCATGATGGCTGTGCACCATGGGAGTCTTAGTCCATGATGGCTGTGCACCATGGGAGTCTTAGTCCATGATGGCTGTGACAGTGCCTAGACTGGCTTTATATAATTATAATACCTAGACTGTGTATTAAAACTATTATAACCTGTGAGTGTATTATAACGTGTGTATTATAACCTGTGAGTGTATTATAACGTGTGTATTATAACCTGTGAGTGTATTATAACGTGTGTAACTGTATTATAATCTGTGTGTATTATAATTGTATTATAATCTGTGTGTATTATAATTGTATTATAATCTGTGTGTATTATAATTGTATTATAATCTGTGTATTATTATAACCTGTTCCTCCCAGCACTGTTTATCTCCTCTATTACAGTGATTTCAGCCAATGTAAGCTGCATTGTTGGCCATAACTCTGACATCCACATGTAGTAATTAAACTCTCCCCATGCTCAGTATTGGGAGCATGCTGTCACAGGGCTGCTATGGGTTCACTTTGCTGTAACCTGTAGTAATAATTATTTTACCATTAACAGGTACTTTTTGTTCCTGTGTATCACAAACTTTTTTTTTTTTTAACTAGTCTAACACATGTATTGGAATATCTTTGTGCATTAAAAACATCATTAATTTACACAGTATATTACTATGTGTTTTGAAAGATGCTACCCAACAAGGTGTTTTTTAATTTGTTGCCAGGTCTTTATCTGCTTTATGATTGTAAGTTTATCTGTTGTAGAAGGAGTGGTCATTTGCACTGCAGTACTTTCAAGGGCGGCTCCTGCTGCTGGATACTTGCTGCATCCCTTGTGTGAGCTTTATGGGCTGATTGATTGTGGCCAGTCTTAACTTACAAGCTTATATTTCAGTCTATTGTCCAGATCATGTTTACAGGTAGCATAGAGCAATATTTCATTTCCTAATATTCTGACATAATGTCTTACCTGTAACCCGAATACATTTGCCAGATGGATAAAAAATAAAAAAATGTTGGTGAACAAACTGGTAATTGGAATTTGGATTTAACTGGCTGTACTCTTCAATACTGCGTGTGAGCATCTCATTTTAAAATCTATAATAGTGGGTTCTGTTCTACTTTATTTGCTTACATTTTCTTTTATTTTGCATACTGTTGTAGTTCTGCCCAACAATGCGAGTGGACCTTTCTGACATTAAGGAGCAGCTGTAACTTCCACGATTTGTAGTGTTTTCTTATACTTGCATTTAACAAATATAAGGCGTGAATAAAGCAAAATGTAGACATCCACACCCTTGGAACTTGACAGTCCGCATAGAGAAAGCATCCAGATAAGAGGAGATATTAAATGTGTGCTTCTCCTCTTCACGTGCAATGGTTTCTTTGTATAGACTGGATTATGTTGTACGGTAATTTGCTAAATCTTTAAAGGAACACTTTAACACAAGCAGCGCCAACAACGATGAACACCAGAGAGCTGGAAGCAAGGCCTTGGCTGCGAGCGATAAGCTGATGGTCTCAGCCAATGAGCTAATCCTGAATTGCAGGACTTGGCTCACATGAGCTAATGGAAGCTCTTGTGTGCGACTTTATGTTCTCTGGCGTTAGTGGAGGTGGGGTTCTGTGCCTGGTGGACCCAAGGTAGAAAGTCAGATTGTTCAAAAAGGGAGGGAGCCTGGACACTTCTTGCACCATAAACGCTATACCAAGCTGTTGTACTTGGGGTTCTTGGAGTGTACATTTAAAACAAATTTAAAAGTAATTTGTGAAAATAAGGTTAAAAAGACACTAAAGTCACTAGAACTACCACTTAATGTAGTGATTCTGGTGTCTACCCCCTGTAGCTGCTGGCATTGTAATGTAAACACTTTTACATTTCTGCCTAGGGACACTTGCAGGTGCAGTCACTCAGACGACCACTAGAGGTGCTTGTGAGGCTGAATGTTCCTCATAGAGATGCATTGATTTAAATGCATCTCGATAAGGAGATGCTGGTTGACGCAGGGTTCGGTTTTTCCACGCATATGCAATAGCCTCCCAATGCTTCCCTATGGGAAATCATTGGATTGACTGAGATCATCAGTGTTGATGATCTCATCCAAGGTGGCGATGCATGGGCGGAGCCAGCTACGACAAGACCCGAGTGATGCTGGAAAAAGGTGAGTAACTTTTTGCAAGGTGACGACACATAAATGGTGTTTTCACACCTATAGTGTCAGGAATACCAATTTGTATTCATGACACTATAGGGTTCCTTTTTAACAAGATTTTTTTGTATTTTTTTACATCTTGTTCAATAATGTACATTCCCGAGAAGTGACAGTCCACGTTTAAGACGTGTGAAAAGTTCATTGTAATGTTTTAGGACGGTTTAATATATTAGTAATGCAGGTGGCAAATGGATTTTTGTGTCCTGGTTACCAGAATATGCATTGTGTAAATGAGATTCTTGAAGTCTCTTCCTGCTCCTTTTTTTTTTTTTTTTTCTGTGTGTGTTGCTAAATCTTTATAATTCCTGCAAATCCTCACTTCTGGAATCTCTACATGGAAAATGTATTGCCAATATTTTTCTACCGATTATTACTCAACCTCCTCCTTTTATCCCTGTCACGCTTTATGCAACTGTTTCTTAGGTGCATTTTTGACAATATTACTAGACAGCTAAGACACTTGCAGTCAGTAGCCAACAAAGAAGGGGTGCAGTGTTTAGGTTATGGATACCAAGGAAGGACTGCTTTAATATTGTCTTATAGTTGGCATGACCGAGATGAACATGCAGCTTTGTTAGAACTTATCTGCTGAAAATTATATAAAGGTTGCACGACTCTGCAAATGTTTCACTGAGAGCTTGCAAAATTGGGGATTTTTTTTTTTGTTAATTTGTGGTAGATTAAGTACTACTGTTTATAGAACAGAATTTGTAGGCTATTAAAACACAATCTGCGTATCACACCTGCTACAGCGACAAAATCATTTGCATAGTTGTCAGTATGTTCTTGTGGACAGAGCTAACACACATTGCACTTCTATTAGCGAAGTGTTTTTTTTTTTTTTTTTTTTTAATGTTTATTAATAATGCAATTGGACTTGGAATGACATAAAGGTGGTGATACTCAAGAATTTACCTGATCAGGAAGAAGTCCTCTTGTAGTTTACACCCTTTCAGTACCTCAGTGAGCAGCTGGTATTTTAAGGGGGAACTATCACTACTCAAGGCTCTTAGTATTCTGTTTACGTAACCCTATATTTAAAGGGACACTATATAGTCACCAGAACAACTACAGCTTATTGAATTTGTTCTGGTGTGTAGAATCATTACCTTCAGGCTTTTTACTGTAAACACTGTCTCGTCAGAGAAAAAGCAGTGTTTACATTACAGCCTAGTGATAACTTCACTGGCCACTCGTCAGATGGCTGTTAGAGATCCTTCCTGGGTCATGGCTGCCTAAAATGCATCCAAACATTCAGTGTCTCCTCCCTCTGCATGCAGACACTGAACTTTCCTCAGAGATTCATTGATTCAATTCATCTCTATGAGGAGATGCTGCTTGGCCAGGGCTGTGTTTGACTTGTGCTGGCTCTGCCCCTGAGCTGCCTCCTTGAGTCTCAGCCAATCCTATGGGGAAGCACTGTGATTGGATCATGCTACCACTTCTAATGTCAGCAGTCTGCTTGTTTTTCTGAGTTTAACAGCATGCAGAGTTACAGCTTCTGGCTTGAATACAGTAAGATGTTGCTCTATTTATGGAGGCATGAGGGGCCCAGGGGGGCTAGATGGTGATTTTAACACTATATATAGGGTCAGGAATACATGTTTGTGTTCCTGATCCTATAGTGATCCTTTAACAAAGATGTATTTGTGATGTGTGCAAAAAAAAAAAAAAAATTGACCGTAGGAGTCCATATCTCTTCATCCTGCAACTGAGTGTTTCCATCTTAACTCCCAGTAGGTTAATGTTAGAAGCTCTGTCCAGTCAATCATTTAGTGGGGCAGCTTAAAATGAGATGAGAGAACCCCCAAAACCTGGTAATAATAAATTATCAGTTTGGAGCACCTCCTCGATCAACAGTCCCCATTGATGTTGGTGAGAACAATGCCAGCAGAGTCCCCAATTGCAGTGTAGGTCAATAAAGGTATATACCAAATCAGTCCGGTCTCACTGGCGCTAAAGTTGCAAGGGGTAGATGTCTGTAAATCCCAACCACACAGAAAGGGGCTGACATACATTTAAAAAAAAAAAAAAAAAAGGTGAAATGCAAATCATTCAACAAAGAATTGTTGAATCACAATATATGAATTTGCAATCTTGTGGTGGAATTATAGTCTTTGTTTTGAGATTAATATACTACTCATTCATATAAACATAATACCCTGTATTAAAATAGAGGACCAATTGTTGAAGGTAAATTTTGTAGAGGTTTTATTTTTAATAGTCTTTAATATTTCCAGTGCCCTCTGAGAATTCATTTTTAAATGTATTTTATGTGATTTGGATGAGTCTCATTATCGAACAGAAAGGTACTAGGTTGCAACGTGCTCCCTGCATATGTGTAAATTTCTAAGTCCTCAGAGATTGCCAGCAAGTGTTGAATGTTCGCTAATGCATTCATTGCGCCACGCATGTGACATTTTAAATGCTTGTTCTTTGTGTTTTGACATTGTTAAACATGGCATCTTTTCAAGATGGAATATAATGCAGAGGTCTTATTGATATTAAACGAACATTCCGAGCACCATAACATGCATGCTGTAGTGGTTATGGTGCCAGGATTGCCCGGGCTTCCTCTCAAAGAATCAAATGCTTCTCTATAAGAAGCATTGAGCATCATCTTTCTGTTTTTGATGATGATCAAAAGACTTGCAGAGGACATGCCTCATGTGGTTGTCTGACAGCTACTGGAGGCATGTTTTAGGCAAAATGTAAACATTACTCCTCCTCTCAATCTGCATCATTTTACATTGCCAATCAAAAGGGGAATCCTCTTTGCACCAAAATAATTACATTAAAATGGCTTTGATGCTTAAAATACTGGTTTTGGTTGTAGTAACACTTTCTGTGGTGGTCTACCCCTCTCAGCCCCTCCCAACAAAAAGACTTGAGTGGTGGACAGGGATGGTACAGAGGGGCGTGACACATAATTTATAATAGCCAGCCTGGAACCTTGTTCAGAACTAGCTAATGGCGCTGCCATAGATGGAGTTAGACCTCCTCTGGCAGATATGGTGGTAATCTAGTGGTTTCCAAACCAGTCCTGAAGGCACGCCTACCAGTCCAGGATTTAGATGTTACCCAGTTGTTTCAAGGTGGGGTTTGTTATTTTATTTTTTTAATCTTTCTTCTAAAAATGCCTTCGACACAACTGGTTAATCCCTAAATCCTGGACTGGTCGCCGTGCCTGGAGGTCTGGTTTAGAAACTGTGTTAATCTCTATATGTGCAGTGTTTATAGCGACATGCTGCACATACAGAGTTCAGTGATTTTCAAGTGTTCTTGGTGCTTGTAGTAATCCTTTTATTGTCCTTTCTAGTACAGTGGATGAAGGCAACTGGATTAATCTGTCAAACGTGGGTTTGAGTAGACAAATTTTGGTGAACCTTCCAGCCTCCCATGCGTCCTCTGAATCTGTTGGTTAAAGTTTAGGGAATGGCTGCCCATTGTTTGCAACACAGAACAGCGTGGTATTGCTAAATAGGAGCTAACTGGTCATTGTCATTGTATGTAGACTTTTAAAACTGTTCTAGTATATGCACTCCTACACTTGTCAACTTATTTAGTTGACAAACCTTCACAGTGCTGAGAAGAGGAAACAGAGTATTGTCTGACGTAGCCACATGCAAATTGCTGTGTATTGTTGTAGTTTTCTGTAGTTGGGGCCTGCTTGGCCTTACAGGAAACCGGTAACGTTTTAAATTTGCATGCTATGAATAGTGGACACGTGAGGCAGTACTCTTATTACACTCTTTTTATCCATTTAGTAGAATCTCTCAAACATACTAGGTTTTTGTCACAACTTGTGACTACTTAGTTGCCTTTAGTTTGACTACTCTGGCCTTAAATTTGAAATTCTTTCAAATCACTTTCAATGCTCACTTTAGTGAATAACCCTGATAGACTTGACTTTTTAATAATGATAATTTAAATAATATGCATTCAATTTTAGTTAATGTGACCAGAATCCATCTGATAGTACTTTATGTAGTGGTAAACATACATAAAGTGTGTTTTTTTTAAATTTTTTATTAATGAGGTAGATGAGCATTATTACCAGTTGCACACTAGAGGCCCGTTGAACACCATCTCCAACTAAAGAGCTACTCACAGCTTCTATGTCATAATTGCAACCAATTCTGTGGAGTAAATCTGGAAACCAGCTCTAGCTAAAACCATGTATTGAAGTAACCACAAAAACCACGCTCCCTTCTGGTGAAGGAATAAACCACACTCCTCTAATTCTCAGTGCTACACATGCTACAAGACATGGTCTCTATATTTTAAAGGGACGTTCTATGTGTGAAATACAACATTTAATGTGGTGGATCTGATGTATGGATGCTGTCCCCTTTTCTCTGGAAATGTGAAACACTTATGTGTGAAATAACAATGTTTACATTTTGCTTAGGACACTCTTCTAGTGCATGTAAGACAGACATCTCTTTGCAGCCCTTCCACTTAAAAGGTTTACCTAACCACCATGACCACTTCAGGGGTTAATAGTATAAAAACTTAAAAAGTTGCTTGAAACACTGCACATACAGATATATTTACACGTGTTTGCAATGGGCTAGTTGCACCCCCAGCACAGGTGACATTGGCAGCCTGAAAAATAGTACTGTACTGAGTTGCCAATGTCAATTCTGTGATTTAAATAAATCTGTCATCAAGACGCACTGCACTTTGACGACAGATGTGCAAGCAGAGCACTTGCAAAAGTAAACTAACTCTCCCCACCCACTCTGTGTGAATCCTGGGAATACATTAAGATAACATGACCATATTAATTTCTCCAAATTCTTAAATGTTATTCATATTAAATAGTTTAATATATGAATATTTGATGTGTGGTGAAAACCTTAATTCTCTTGAATAAGATGATCTATTCTAAGCGTGGGTGCACTTAAAATGAAAGAGGCTAAAAAAATGGCTGAACAAATTACAGGTTTTGTTTTGATTAGAATTTATAAAATTTCCTCCCTCTTTATGGGGTTAATAAAACAATTAAATAATCCTGGACATAAGATAAGGTCTAAAACAGTCTACAGATATAAATCAGGAAGATGTTGCTGTTAACCACAGCTTCTGGGAGATTAACGAGTAGCACACTCCCCTTGTGGGTGGTCCGGCTGTTTGACAATTTGAAGTCCCACTTCGGAAGTTCGAAGTGCTAACTCCAAATGCCAAAGAGGGCATAAACAGTGTCCCTGAACACAATACATCCCAGGGCCATAGTCACAGGGTAGGAAGCTGGCAAACAGGCCCCTCCAAAAGTCAGTGGCGAAGTTACGTTCGTCACAGCAATGTTTGCATGAAAATGCCTGAAGGCAATGGTTATACTCAACAGAACAAATAAATTAAGCTGTAGTTGTTCTGGTGACTATAGTGTCCATTTTAATGCCTCTTTTTTTTTTTTTTTTATAGGAGCTTAATATTGTTGGTGTGCACAACAGCAATAACTCACACATTACTGTGTCTGTAAACTATAATAAATGTGTTTAGAAATTAATCTCTGCATAAATAATTTGTAAGCCACCTTAAATTTCTTAGGATAGCCCTGGCCCTGGCCACACCCCCTGAAATTACATTATTCCTCATTGTCCATTTGAAAGATTAGGAGGTATGCAGTCGTTAGTGTATGTACAATGTATGTCAGATTGTGTGTGATTTATGGGATATTGTATATGATAGATGCCCCCTACAGATTATACACACGGTGGATATTATTGATGAACAGGGGCCACGGCCCTTTGACAGCTTGACTGAGCCCCGATGATAACTGCCTGCTGAGAGGAAGAGACAGCGCGCATGGTGTGATTGTGCAGTTACTGGTGAAGCCACCTCCATGAAATGAGTCTTTGAATGTTGGGATGTCTAAGATTTTGGATTTTCTCATGGCCTTAATAGACCAGACCTATGCTGTCTAGATTGCTGGACTTGTGCTATGAAGCTTTGGAAAGCCAATTAAAGTAACTCAGCTCCTTGACATTTTCTTAACCCAGTATATTTCAGTGAATTTTTTATTTTTGTATCCCTAGGGTGACATTGCCTCTTGTGTTTTTCCCACAGCAGCACAGAACGTGCAGACAAAACTCCCTTTCCAAGTGATTAATTGCAGTCTAGAGCTTTCTCCTAATTTATTCACCCAGTTGCTAATTCATTCTTATCAGTGCATCTGTGTAATTGAAGGGGACAGCTACACCCTCTTGCAGCCACTGGGGATATCAGATCTAGTCCATAGGGGCAAGCTTTAGAGCATGTATTTCAGAATTTGATTGTCACAGCCTTGTAGCACTTGGTATGAATGTAAAAACAGAAATCAAACCGTTCCTATTGTACATAAGATATTAGTGAATAAAAATCTAACATTGTTTATGAATCTGCGAAAACACATTGGTTTGGCTCATTGTATTTGTTGTGAGCATATATTGAACGGGAAGCTTGCAAGCTATGATTCTTAGATTTCATGCAAAAATAATAAAAAAAAAATAAAAAAAATTTGAGACATTATGCTGTTTTAAGTTGCTGCTATAAAAGAAAGTGCAACTGCGGATTCCAACCCAGTCCTCAAGGCACAAAAACCGGTTTATCTACTAAAGTGAGAATTAAAAGTGAATTTCAAACTTAAAGGACCAGTTTGGGCATCATCAAAAAGAAAACTATTATGCCAGGAGGTCACTGGCTCACCTCAAAGGGACACTCCAGTTTTTCCTGGCACTGCAGGTCCCCTCTCCCTCCCACCACCCATCCCATGTTGCTGAATGGGTGAAAACCCCTTCAGTGACTTACCTGAGACCCCCGCCGATGTCCCTCGGCGGTGGTTTTGGGTCCGCCCACGCTCCTCCCCCCCGCCGACGTCATCCGGCGGGGGGAGACCGATCGCGCATTCGCGGCCGCCGGCGGGGGAGATGTAATGCGCAAGCGTGGCAATTTCCTATGGGGAATTGAGCGACGCTGGAGGTCCTCACGTAGCGTGAGGACATCCAGCGACGCTCTAAAACAGAAAACCTGTGCTAGAAACCAGGAAGTGCCCTCTAGTGGCAGTTAACCCTGCAATGTAATTATTGCAGTTTATGAAAACTGCAATAATTACACTTGCAGGGTTAAGGGTAGTGGGAGTTGTCACCCAGACCACTCCAATGGGCAGAAGTGGTCTGGGTGCCTGGAGTGTCCTTTAAGGGGTTAAACATTTCTCGAATGGTTTAACCCTAAAGTTTGTTAAACCATAACTACTACAAAGAAAGCTTACATATTTAAAGTACAGGTAGATACACTTTATATTTAAAGGCTTATTCCAACCACAAAAAATCGTATTTACCACCTCGGAGAGATCCAGTTATGTTGACTTCACTCCCTCTAGCTGTTGGGGAATGTTATAGGTGGTGCAAGGGACTGTTGCCAGCATGCTCTGTGTGTAATATGGAAGGGACTGCTATTAGCCAGACTGGAACTCATGCACTTTGAGCCAGCAAAATGGTCAAATCACAGGCTTTTCTATGTGAAGCCCGTGATTGGACCACATGAACCCCTGCTGTAATGTTAGAAGTAGGTGTGGAAGTCAGTGCTGGGAGATTCTAGGTAAATTTTGCTTTTTTTTTTTTTTTTTTGTGTGTGTGTGTGTATAAACAAAGGGCGGGGTGGATGGACCTTATCTATACATGATTACAGCGGTTTTCAAAATTATTCATCCCCATTGAAAACTCGTTAATTGTCAGAGTTTACAATCTTTCAGTTGTTTGCAAAGAACAACGTGAACAAAAGCAATGGAAATGGCTCAACACAACAAATGCTTCAAAATTCCCCAAATTCTGCTGAAAATGCAACTTGTAGTGACTTCTCCAGTCTCAAAATTATTCAACCCCCTAAATAATTGCATGTTCAGTTGAATTGGGGGAAACCAATTTAAGCTTTTGTGCTGAGCTATTGCAATTGATTTTGATTTGTTCATTGCAAGCAGCTGAAAGTCTGTACATTTTGACAATAAACCTGATTTTCAATGGTGGTTGAATAAGTTTGATTACAACTGTATCCCCAAGACATCAGGGCATGATTACAGTATATCCCCAAAAACACACAAACGTAACCCCCACAAGTCTTGTATCTGCAGAAGCTCTCCCCCCTCCACTTCCTTTGGTCAGAAGAGCACTATTGTCACACTCACAATGTTGAATGTCCTCCCGGTTAAAGTTTTAGATTTCCAATCCGATGAGCTAGTTAGAACAGCTCTTAAGGGGAGAAAATGTCTCTTCATAGTGGCAGAAATTCAATTGTCACAGTGCGCAGTAAGATATGTTACATAGAAAAGCACCCCATTCGGTTGGA